TATAACCAGTAACTAACTTTCATTCTGGCCCATACCTTTTCAAAAAATACTTCTAAACTGTGAAAGAGATCTTTCGGCAAGAACTAAAAACTTGAGTAAAAGCAGTAAGTTTTCCTATAAAATAATTCAGTATTTTTGTTTGAAGATGGGGTTATATATTGCTAAGAATAGTGCCTTATCTATATAAATATCATATCTTTATAAAATACGATGTAAAGCTTAGTGTCAAGCGGATTTAAAAAGAAAAAAATTCAGGAACCTTTTTTTATCTGCAACAATAAGCAGATAAGTGAGTTTACTCAATTTTTAATGATGTAAAATTTCTTTATACCGTCAACTTCTGTAGATGGAAAAAACGTAGGGTACATAGTATTTAAGCGGAGTAAAATTTATATTCTTACAGATGATTTTTTTTAAATAAGAGAGGGGGGGGGTTATGTTTCAGGATGGTTTGCGCCAAAAGAGAAAAAAAATAATACAGACTTTGCACGAAGGAAATTGTGATTGTTTTTTTACCCGCAGTGGAAATATGACCCTTGCCTGTAATGCTGTATGCTTTAGAGGGTCTATCTAAAATTCTGGATCCCCTCAACTTTCAAGGCTGAAACATCAACTACTGTGGCTATCTAAATATACTGTAGAAGGTGTTTATTAGACTTTATGTTTCTTCTTCTACAATAATGTATTTCTAAACATATTTTAGTTTAAAGGAGGAATGTAAGCAATTCGCCGGCTCTTTGAATATTTATTTTTTAAATCAGTTCGGTCGATTTTATTCGGGAAAAAATGGAGAAATTTACTTTTCTAAATACTTTTTTAACTAACCTAAATAATCTCTTAAGATATTCGGAATAAACAACGTTTTCTTTACATTGTACGTAGGTTTATACATAATGTACATGCATCTCTACATCATGTATCCATCTGAGAAAAAAATTACCAGTTAAATAACTTTACAGATTTTCTGCTGAAAAAATTAATTTAATTAACTGGTCTTTAAAAAATATATTTTTATTCAAAGTTTTGTTGGTGAAATTTATCCATTGTGTTCTGTAAGTATAATATTTCATTAGAGTCTGTTTTTGAAAGTTGATATATTAATTAATATGCATTCTTAAATAAAAAATAATTTGACTTTGCACATTCCGTGGTTATCAAAGGAGCATCCTCAACCCTTTTAAATCATGACCATCTGTGCAATGGATAAAATGCAGATTTGTCATTACTGAAAACAAGCGTGCACGGAAGTGAGTGACCTAGTATCTTATTAATTAATAGGCGAGCTCAGGAGACTATGTATTATATATGTTATATATAAATGTATATTCATTCTGAATTTTTCATATCAAATAACTAATTTTATTATTTTTAGGGACATTGTACATCAGTGATTCCTCTGTATTGGATACACACGAGTACGTAGATGCAGCGTTTTCTGTAATTGCAAAGAAAAAATGTGGCAAGAAAGATGCAGAAATAATCCTCCACTATATACCAAGGGTTTTGAATGGTGAAATGATTGTGCAAGGACTCTACGATATAAAGACCTAGTTCAGTCTCTGCATGTATAAGTCAAATATACCACTATTCAATTCCTCTACACGTTCAAAATGAAGGCGAGGACAATGCATGAGCGCTGGAAACCACTTCATTAAAACTTATTCACATCAATTTCAAACGTTATAAGTAATAAATATTTAAACTTACAAGAGCTATACATGTATAAAGCTTACTAGAAAAAAATATTACTTCTTAGTTAAGATTTTGTCTTACTGGAAATGCCCAAAGAAAGGAATATAATTTCTTACTAAAGATTTTGTCTAACTACATGTATATAGAGCTGTATTATCCTTCCGGGGCCTTCAGATTCATGTATGATTTTGTCTCACTAGAACTGTGCATATCTTTCTAGAGCAATATACCTGGAATAATTTAAAAAAAAACTTTTTATTGTCTTACTAAAATCTGTACATAACCTACTAAAGGAATGTTAGTCCAGAGTTTTTTGAGGTTTTTTTTGTCTAGGGAATGTAACAGCGTATAGTTAAGATTTTGTATTACAAGAGCTGTATGTTACTCCGTCATATAAATTATTTTAGAGAAGTATTTCTACGTAGTTAAAACTAAAACTAAATAGTCTCACTAGATTTGCACATAGCCTTCTGTAGCTAAGTTTTTTTTTCTAAGTAGAACTGAACAAAGCCCTCTAGAGGAATATTACTCTGCAAGTCAAAATTTGTCTTATAAGAACTGTACGTAGCCTTCTAGAGGAATATTACTCCATAGATCAAATTTTGTCTTATAAGAACTGTACATAGAAATCTAAAGGAATATTTCTTCGCAGTTCAGATTTTGTCTTATTAGAACTGTACAAAGCCTCCTAGACGAATATTCCAAAACCTCCTAGAGGAATATTCCTCCATAGTTCAAATTTTGTCTTAATATATCTGTGCATACTTAGCATCCTAGAGGAATATTAATCCGTAGTTCAGATTTTGTCTTATTAGATCTGTATAAAGCCTCCTAGAGCAATATTACCCGTAGTTCAGATTTTGTCTTATTAGAACTGTACATAGCCTCCTAGAGGAATATTACTCTAGGAGGTTCAATTTTTTTTTCTTAAAAGAACTGTCCATACTCAGCCTGCTGGAGGAATATTACCCTGTAGTAAAGACTTTGTCTACGTCCACTTGTGTTGAGTTTTCACCCCCGCATTCTGGATGTCTCTTTAGAACTACACATACTCTCTCAGATGACTATTACTCTGTTTATGTTGTGTCTATATTTTGTTTTATTGGAATTCCGTAGATAAGATTTTTTTTATTAGTGTTGTACATAGCCTTATAGAGGAATATTAGCCCGTAGATAATTTTTTTTTTTAATTACATAGCCTTGTAGAGGAATATTACTCCGCAATTAATTTTTTGTCTCATTAGAATTTTCAAAGTCTTTTAGAGGAATATTACTCCTTAGATAATATTTTGTCTATTTAGAATTGCACAGTCTTTCAGTGGAATATTACTCTGTAGTTAATTTTTGTCTTATCAGAATTGCAGTCCTCTAGAAAAATATTATTCCGTAGATAAGATTTTGTCTTCTAAGAGTTGTAAATAGCCTTCTAGAGGAATATTACTCCGTAGATAAGTTTTTGTCGTAGAAGAACTGTATATGTATAGAGGAATATTACTCCGTGCTTCAGATTTTGTCTCAAATAGAACTGTGCATGCTTAGCCTTCTGGAGGAATATTACTCCGTAGATTAGTTTTTGTTGTAGTAGAACTGTACATAGAGGAAATAACTCCGTAGTTCAGATTTTATCGTAATAGAAGTGTGTATACTAACTAGCCTTCTGGAGGAATATTACTCCGTATACTAGTATTAGTTTTTGTCTTAGTACAACTGTACATAGAGGAATATGTTACTCCGTAGTTCAGATTTTCTCTTATTAGATATGTACATAGCCTTTTAGAGGAATATTACTCTGTAGTGCAAATTTTCTCTCATTAGAATTCCACAGTCTTCTAGAGGAATATTACTAGAACTGTACATAACCTTCTTACTAGAGCTGTATATAGCTTCTAGAGGAATATTACTCCGTAGTGAATTTTTCATACTTCAGAAGTTTTGCACTGGCCTTCTGGAGGAATATTACTCCGGAGGTCAAGTTTATGTCAGACTAGAACTGTACATGTACGTATATTTATAGAGGAATGTTACTCCATAGTTCAGTGTTTTTATTAAAGGACTTTTCTACGTATGAATAAATTTTTGAAGAAGATATTGCCGATTTGTTTCTTCTTATTATTATAACAGAGTCTGTAATGAATCATATATCAAACTCTGAATCGAAACCCGGAAAAGGTACGGTGAAGCACAGTACCTTTTTATTTTGCTGTCCCTTAAATATATTTACTAATAAAAATGTGGATTCATACTAATTGGACAAAATACATATAATTAAAAAACCTATAACCTCTTGTTAATCTTATAAAAAAAAATCTATATGTGCTTACGGATTTATGATGCATAGAAAAGATATTTCCGAAAAAATGTAGGTGCTAGCGCAGAGTTTGAATAGATGCTAGCGCAGAGTTAGGATATATCAAGTAAAAACAGAATCAAAAGTAGCTTGGAGTTGTTAAAAATATTTGCAGGTAGGAAAATTCTTGAAAAATACTGACTTTTTAAAATGTCTCTGGAGACAGCTCCCACTTGTTCATGACCTTGATGTACAATTCGTATTACATATAGTGTGTTAGGGATTCCAGAAGTGGTATTTCTGATGATGAACAATTGCGAAGATCACAAGATGTTAATTTATACATGTATCACTAAAGTGGTACGTAATTGATTAAACAATGGACAAAGGGTTAGTGTGAGAGTACAGAGACATTATAAATAAGTGTATATACTGAGTACACAAAAACTTAAATGATGATAACTAAAATATAAAAGTCGATGTAAATGTTGAAATCTTAAGAACCTGCAGGCATGCTATCGAAGCCATCTTAGGACTAAGGCATATCTTAAGAGATATCTTAGTCCTAAGAGAGGCCATGGAATCTCTCCTAACTTAAGACATGTCGTAAGATTTCTCCTAAAGTTAAGACATCCTAAGAGGTGTCTTAACTTTGTATATGATCAAATATGGCCGCCGCCTATGTGTTTATCCAGAGGGGAAGAAGGAGAATCCGTAGAGAACTCAGGGGACTACAACAATCCTCTGGACTACTTAGATGATGAAAGCATCGTGAGTAAATACAGACTAACCCGACCAATGATACACAATCTATGTGCTATGTTTGAAAACGACCCTCACCGGCCAACAATGAGGTCACGTTCACTTCCAGTATCTCTTCAAATAATGGTAGCTCTACGTTTTTACGCCAGTGGTAGTTTTCAAGAGGTTGTAGCAGATGTTCACAATATTTCTCGGCAAAGGAAATGCAATCGAAGATGTTACAAATTGTTTGATTGAAATTTCCAAACACTGCATTAATATGCCAGTTGATGTAGTAGAGTTGAACAAAATAAAGAAAGACTTTTATGGAATTGCTCATTTTCCAAACACTGTTGGGGCAATAGATTGTACACACATTAGAATGAAAGCACCAACCACCGCCGAACACATATACGTCAATCGCAAAAACTATCATTCCATAAACATTCAAGGAGTATGTGATTCGACTTTGAAATTTCTAAATGTAGTTGCAAGATGGCCCGGAAGTACTCATGATGCATTTATATGGTTTAATTCGGAATTGAAACGTCTGTTTGTGAACGGCACGATAACTGAAGGATGGTTATTAGGAGACAGTGGATACCCATTGCGCCCATGGCTGTTACATGTAACACCCGTGTTAAACCACTCTCAGGCTAAGGAGAGATACAACACAGCCCATATCCGTACAAGAAACGTGATAGAGAGAGCTTTTGGTGTGCTTAAAGCTCGTTTACGGTGCCTGGACAGTAGCGGCGGAACACTTCTGTACAATCCCGGAAAGGTGTGCAAAATATTTGTTGCGACAGCAGTGCTACACATGTGCATCATCGAGAGAATCCCACTCCCTGAAGGACGTGATCCCCACGATAATTGACACATACGTGCTCAACACTATGCTGAGAATTTAAATGATGATGGAGCAAATGTCAGATTAAGACTAGTAAATGAATTTTTCAGAAATTGAATGGGTGGCTGATTGCACTTGTCTACCTTATGCTTATTACATTTATCTTAAAAAAATCATCATGCATATATCAAAAAACCTAGAAATATACCTAAGAAGCATTACATTTATTTGATATATAAAACATGTCATACTTGAATATTTTCATTGTTATATTTTATATGAATAAGTCAGCAGTAATTCTTTATTATATTTTATTCATGTGGTGATGGGATGCTCGTGTCAGCTCCTTGGGGTATAAACTGAATACCTAATTGGCATAAATAAAGTTGATGACGTTGTTGTGATATGAGTAATTTTTGTTTCTCAATTTCAAGTCTCTGCTTTTCAACTTCAAGTCTCTCCTTTTCAACAAGAAGCCTCTCCTCTTCAATTCCAATTAATCTTAGGGAGCACTCATTGTCCTCATCCTGTGCCTGGCGTTTCCTGGAAGACACTTTTTTGGGCGGATCCATTTCATTGCTTACACTGGTAGACGGTTTATCTAAATAAAAAAAAAGTTATTATTAAGTTTTACATGGAAAAATAATTTTACTCTTCCTACATTAATAAGCTATAGCATTCGTTATACCCTAACCCACTTTTGCAGCCAATAAGCAACCACTAAATCTTCTTTTAAGTTATTCACTTAATCGTTTAAATAACAAAAAAATTCATTGACAGTTTAGAGAAACAAATGCGAAGGAGAAAACATTCGATAAGTGCAGAATTTAACTTTGAATCAGATAATGAAAAAGCGGTATTGTTTTTTTAATATACATGTATGATATACATATTTTTACCTTGTAAGCTAATAGTGGAAGCAGAGTCCAATCCGCCTGAGACTCCTTGAATAGCCGTTGACCCGATAATTCCTACAATTTTGTCTTGGAGTGGCGTAAGCTCGGGAGGTGCCAGTCCTCCCCCGGTCTTCATGGACTCTCTCCGATTTGAGGAAATTCTCTTTTTCGTGTCACTGGCATAGGTTGACAATTTCTTTCGAAGTTCTTCTACAGTTCTAGTATGTCCCGATGACAAAGCGTTCACCTTCTCGCAAATCCCCTCCCAAACTCGTTTTTTGGAAATATTGGTCACAACATTTGTGTGTTTGCTGAAAATAATTTCTTTATTCTTCTCCACTTCCTCCAAAAGTATTTTGAAGCTACATTTCAGAAAAGTTTGGATTCCTTTTTCTGCTCATTATACAGCTGTTATACCTTGAAGTCTTAAACTATAATGGACCTTATTCAAAGTCTATGAGTGAATGAGAATAATAGCGCCAGATAGCACGGGATTTTTTCGCGGGGTACTCTCTGAGAAAAAGAAATACACGTGTGTATATAAAATTGATTTATATACATATCACTAGCTATGTAAGAATTAGTGAAATATGATATGGTATTTAAGTTTTTAAAAACTTTTTTGCAATATGCATAATATTTTTTTTATAATCTCTATCATTGAGGAGCACAGCACAGAGAGAGAGAGAGAGAGAGAGAGAGAGAGAGAGAGAGAGAGAGAGAGAGAGAGAGAGAGAGAGAAATTGTATGGAAACTAAGTTTTTAAATTTTTTCACAATGTGCATAATATTTTTTTTATAATCTCTATCATTGAGGAGCACAGCACAGAGAGAGAGAGAGAGAGAGAGAGAGAGAGAGAGAGAGAGAGAGAGAGAGAGGGGGGGAATTGTTAAAATTTTTTCACAATGTGCATATTTCCATAATCTCTACCACTTAGGAGAGAGAGAGAGAGAGAGAGAGAGAGAGAGAGAGAGAGAGAGAGAGAGAGAGAAAGAGAGAATCATGAAATAAAAATTATTCTTATGATAAGACATCTCTTATTTTGCATAAAAACAGTCTGAGTCCCGGGAATTATTGTTTAGGGGCAATTGGGGTAAGTTGACACTCGGGGTATGTGGACACATTTTTAAAAAATTGCTTAAAAATTAAAGCAAACAAGAGTTATCAAACCTGTTCAGCTCTCGTTGTAAAGGAGGAAGCAAATGTGTTAACATCAAAGACAGGGAAAATTCAAGGTCAACGACTTCGACTGAAAAAAGGAGAAAACTGTGACTCGATCCGTAAGTAAACTGCACAGAGCCATTTTCTTAGTATTGTCATAAATACTGCAGAGATTAACCATTGTTTAAATAAAAACTGTTCGCCTTTAAGCAAAAGAACTTGTTTTCAATCTATACAATGACGCATCAGTTTTAAGTCTGGAGTGTTTACATTGATGTATTTTTGCAGTTTATATTATTTTTATCGCATCATTCCTGTAAACAATATATAATCTTCACATAAAAAATGGCTACCCTTTGAAAAATCTGTAAACAAACATAATAAAAGCTTGTGTATTGATAATAAAATATTAAAGTTCAGTCCGTTAGAGGCGTTAATATTTGATAATAATTAGATACTAGTTTTTCAAATATCATATTAATTTACACATTATTATGTTTTGTTGTTCAAGTGGAAGGGAAAATTGTAAGCTTTCTTTTTACGTTTACCCTTTAGAAAGGTCACGTGATAATGAAAAAAAATTACGTTGTGTCCTTCATGGATTTATTACAATTTTCAAGATTTTTAAAAAAAAAAAATGTAATGAATGGCAACATACTCTTCGAAATTAATAATTTGCAAACACAAATATTTATTTGGTTAGAATAATTAATTAGATTAATTTAAAAATGTCAAAATGTCATATTGTGACCACTTACCCCAAGTTTGTTGGGGGAAGTGGACAGTGCAAAACCGTGACAATGTTATTTAAACAGCAGTCTCAGGTTTAATCTTTAGATATTCAGTTTGAATTGTATCGGAATAAATCTTAGTTTTATGTATCAAATTAATTTTTAAATGATATTTCTAATCATGAAAATAATACATAAATTGATTTTCTGTAACATAAATTTAAATAATTGCAAATTAAATTAAAAAAGAAAAGTAAAGGTATCACTGATGGTAAATATTTTCTTGCAGAGAGATTTTGGGTTTTTATGTAACTAAAATATTTTTTTTTTAATTTCAGAAACGGAAAACATTGTAAAATGGCCAGAAAGAAAAAAGACTGGGTGCCCAAACAAGGAAAATGGGACAGAAAATCTTTAAGTAAAGCTGTTCAGTGTGTTAAAACGGGGAAAATGACCAAGTTTAAAGCTTCTAAGATATTTGGCATTCCAAGAACAACCCTGTCGAGGAGACTTTCAACAATGGATTTGGAGTCTCCAGCATCAAAACCAACCACTCTGTCTAAAGAGGAAGAAAACTCTCTTGTTAGTCACATTTTGGAGATGGAGGAACGTGGGTTTGGTTTGACAATATCAGATGTATGTAAGCTTGCATATTCAATTATTGCACACTCAGGAAGAAAAAATCCATTTAATGCAGACAAGAAAATGGCAGGATATGACTGGTGGCAGGGATTTCGAGACCGGCACCCATGCTTATCTCTCCGTAAACCTGAAGGTCTAAGTGCTGCTCGTGGTACTATGCTTAATCCAAATGTAATTTCAGACCATTTTACCAAGCTAGGAGATCTTATGGATAAACTCAATGTAAAGTCAAAACCCCAGCAAATATTTAATGCAGATGAAACAGGATTTAGTACAGTTCATCAAACATCAAAAATTGTGGGGAGGAAGGGGAAGAAAGCCATTCATGCGAAAACAAGTGGTGAAAGGGGTGAAAACATAACAGTTTTGTGTTGTGTAAATGCTGAGGCCCATGTTTTGCCACCTATGGTGATTTTCAAAGGAAAAAGAATCAGTCAAGCTTTAATGAGCAGTGCACCAAAGAACACACTGTTTGCATGCAGTAAAAGCTCATTTATTGATGGAGAACTGTTTGGAATATGGTTTGAAAAGATTTTTTTGTCCAACCTCTCACCTCAAAGACCAGTGTTGCTGATAGTAGATGGCCATGCCTCTCATATTACACTTCATCTTCTGGAAGCAGCGAAGACAAATGACGTTGAAATATTCTGCTTGCCGCCTCACACAACGCATTGGACACAGCCACTGGACAGAAGTGTTTTTGGGCCCTTAAAGAAGGCATACTACAAGCATTGTGAATCATTTTTGAAATCAAATCCTGGCAGACAAATATCCAGATATGACTTTTGCGGAATTTTCTCTCATGCATATAATGAGAAAATGAATATGGTAAATATCTTTGGAGGTTTTAGAGCTACAGGTATTTTTCCCTTCAACCCTCTGGCTATTCCTGCAGAGGCATTTGGGCCATCAAAAACTTCTGTCTTAGCTTCTGTAACCAGCACTACCAGTGAGGGGGAAATTGCATCAGCTGAGAACATGGCAGTCTCTATTGGTCAACCAACCCAGGTTCCAAGGAGTTCCTTGTCAGTCTCAGAAGAAATTACAGAAGCACTTCAACTTCCAACAGTTGTCAAAGAACCAGCTCAAAGAAAAACTAAGAAAGTTCTTGGTGCAAGATGTGTAACAGAGAATGAATTCATCAATGAAATCAGACAAAAGGAGGAAAAAAGAGAAAAAGACCAGATGGAAAATGAAATAAGAAAAAAAGAGCGTGAAGAAAAGAAACAAAAGAAAGAGATGGAAAAATTGAAGAAACAGCTTATTAAGCCTACAAGTAAATCAAAGAAGACTACATCAAAGTCAAAGGAAAATATCCCTTCTCACACTGACACCATTAATTGCTGCTCCTACTGTGGGGGGTACTGTTATGATGAAGATTCAGATGATGAGGACTGGGTTAAATGTACTAGTTGTGATGATTGGTACCACGAATCTTGCACTGGAAAATATGGACGCCAGCTAGAACATTTTGTATGTGACAAGCATCGATAATTTTTTTGATTTGGTTTTCCACTTTCTTGTGTGTTGGAGAATGTTTACTTGTGTGAAATACCTTATATATTGGATGTTTTGAGTCACTGAATTATATCGATGA